GTATTTGTTTTTTCAATAGGCTATGGCACAACACAAGAGTACAACTCACCCACATGAATGGGCATTACTTGAATAAATTCCCCACTGCTCATATCACTAAATATATAGGTCTTCCTTATACATAATCAATACTCAGAATCAGTCATGTTTCACCTGGGAAAAGGAAACTGAATGCAATCAAATTAATGCTGTCACTTTCTATAAACCAGCAATGGTTTGCTGCTACAGAAACCACTAACTTCATTATTCTACAACAGGAAATCAACACTGTAGCATATTTTAAAAGTCTAATTTACTTAGAGTAATAAAAAGGCACGCTCAAGGCTCATCATGTATGTCATATTATGCTTAGTTTTAAACATTCCAGACTAAGAACAGTATGCAAAACCTTCAGTGAATCAAGTTGATTAATGCTTTGCATTTGTATGCAGTAGTGCTCTACATTCACTGAGTACTACATAAATATTATTTTATTAAATTTAAAAGCAGTTGTGTTAGGTGGGATAATAAAATGTCTTACATTCTTTATCTCGGCAGTAGCCTTTTAAACAGAAACAAAAGTAGTACATTACTGCAGTAAAATCACTTATGGAGAGATCAGAAACAAGGTAGTTGCAGACTTCTATAGCTGTGCTAAGACTTTCAGAACATAGAAGTCTACATTCAAATTAGAGGCACCTACATGAGGTTTGCAGGTATCTCCTTATCTTCAATTGTGTGGTTATAGAAAAAGTTAGGGATATGTTTTAATTTTCAAGTACTTATCAAGGTTCACAGTGCCCTTTTGCAGGAACACATTTCATGAGGATGCTGCTGGAGGACAAAGAGCTCATTAGGGCAAAGCTGAGAGGACAGAACAAAAACAGGAGTAAAAAATGGGTTGGAGTAATAAATTAAAAAAACATCATAAACAATGAAAGAGGCAACAGATCTTTGTCTTTTTCACCTTTCTAACTCTATATTTTAATTTATATGACATTCCACTTTCTGGAAGAAAGTTTCCTTGCCTGCCAATTGGCTCCTACCTCCTCCTTTAAAATTTGCTCCTTAGCAGCCATTTATCCCAGAAATCCTTCCAACAGTATCTTATTTTCCATTCATAAATGGTCACTAAAATTATGGTAAATCAATGCAATTATTTTGTTAAATTATTATTGTCAACTTCAGTAGAAAGTCAAAAAAGATATATGCTCAGCCTAGCAAATACTGTACTTTTTAATCACAGTAGCTAGAAGTAGAAGCTATTGTAAATCAGGCCATAACTAACAAGTCTCTAAAAATCTGGAGCTCCTAATGGCAGTCAATAGACTTTCTCAGTTCACCATTAACCAACCCATCAACTGTATTTATTGACTGTGGAACTACACTTCAGAGTTGCTGTTTCAGTGATACAGCTTGCTGCATACAGCCCTGCGACCAAGAAATAGTTTGTGATATTCAAGTCAAAGAATATGAAGGCTAATATCACATCATGTCATTTGACTTCTTACAGATTTTCATAGGCTCTTGAAGAGTACGAACTTGCCCCATTCATTAGTTAACCCTCCATAACAACCAGAGAAAGACCTGAATTATTTTTCAATTACAACTCTTTATATTTCAGCTTATGTGTTAAAATACTGAATTGAGCTTCTCTTGGAACATTTTCCCCTGCAGCAATCACCCACAGAATTCCTTATAAGGGGCAAAGTGGAGCACAAGTGAACTGTAACATGGTTCTAGGACTGATGGCCTTAACCAAATAAATGCTATAATTGGTATATCAGTATTATATATTTTTATTATATATTATATATGCTATAATCAGTATAATATATATATCAGTATTAATATAATCAGCATCAATATGCAAAATATCAACAGGATTTTTATTAGACTACAAATAGTCATAGTACTGTTGATAACTTTGACTTCCATAAGAGAATGATTTTAAGGTTACCATGCAAAAAGCAGCATTCTGTGTTATATTTTTATACTTATAAAGACTTCCATTCCCACAACAGATCTAGAAGCACATGCATTAGCTCCCAGTTGACTTCAGTACCATAAAAGTGTCAATGTCAGCTACACAGATCCCTTTCAAGTATTAGCAAATCATAAGGAACTTTTTAGGTGTATAAACAAATATTGCTACAAACTGCTTAAATATGTAAAGTTGACGTAACACGAAGCTGAATCCTATATATATGATGGACAGCATGTACCAACAGGGAAGAGGAGGCTCACAAGTCTGTATGTCTGGGATTGTCTTTAATGATTTTTGGTGAAGCAAGCCATAGGTAAACTATCAAGCACATTGCCTTAAACAGGCCTTTACAAAGAGTCCAACAAACTGGCGACTAGCAAATACTGTAGAAAAGCAGCTACTCTTCAGGCTGGTCACAACTGAAATAATTAAATAGCCCCTTAGTTTTATTCAAATTCAATTAGTATATAAATTCTACCATAACATTACTGGCTCATCCTCAGTGACTATTCCATTTTCTTCTTGTTTATGATGGGACCAAGATTACAGATCTTTTAAAAAAACATATATTGCTTCTCAGTTATCTGCAATAGTTTATACATGCACACCCAGAAATATGATCACTTCCTATCTGGTGAGTTTACAAAAGATTGAAGCTCTGCATTAAACTGGTTGTACATCTTAGACATGATTACTTCATTGTTTCCATGTTCCCATTCTTATAAAAATCACATCAATAACATTTGATAATGTAATTGAGGAAGCTTAGAAGAATTCTACTAAGGTATGAATGGAGAGGCCTATTAGAGAAAACAAACAAGCCCAGAAGTGAAAACAGAGAATGGGTTAATTCAGAATTACTAGAAAGAATTTTTATTGAAAAGTCTTAAATCCTGGAAGTGGACCACAGCTTAATATAGCAATCAGAAAAGCAACTTGTCAAAAATAATTAGCTGTCAGTATCTAACTCTAGGGTTTCACGTACTTTAGTAATAGGTAAATGCCAAATGACTGAAAATTAAGCCTATCTCAGTATCTTAACACGAATAAAGATGATGAATTACAACCAGCCACATCTACCCATTTTGTGCCAGATCCAACCGAGTACAAAGATATCAGCTTTATTTGGTGAAATTGTGCCAATTTATACTGTGGTTCTGTCCTTCTAACTCCTTCTTTCAAATGAATGACTCAAAAACAACAGTGACAACTAGGAAAATCCTATTTTTTTACAGCTAGACCCACGACCAAATAAATATACCTAAGAGCAAATATTAATAAGATAAACACCCATGTTCAAAGACACCATGTATACTGCAATGTGTACTGCTCAGAATAGAAATGATTACTATTCTTTAAAAGACAACTTATATACTTCTGTTTTAAAAGCATCTCATTTGTTCTGGATAAGGAGACAAGAGTAGAAAGATTATGTGTCGTATCACATCTCCATCTTAATTAATTTTCTATCAAGTATAATGTCATTTAGGCATTACATTATATCAAGCATAATGTCATTTAGGCATTACAATCCTAGCTGTTTCAAAAGCTGCTATGTATCTTTACAATATACTGGACATACCTTTTCAATCACTTTTAATTAAGTGTTTTAGAAATATGAAAAAGGAGGAAAACACAAGCGAGGCCAAGTGCAACATGTTAGGGAAGTTTATTTATGGAAAACAGTTCTGCCAGTTAATTTGTTTCCAACAGGTCCAAGGAATGAACAAATCTAAAAACTGTGAGTCCTCGTAAAATATTTGTTTCTGAAGCTTTTTGACCCACATTTCTTCACAGTTACTTTCTGTAACCAGTTAATAGCATTATTCAGTACTGTTTAGAAAGGGCCTTTGCTGTGCAGGTAGTTTGTTGTAGCCTAGCTCCAAGTAATTTAATGAACTATAATCACATGCGCATTGCTGCTTCAACACCCTATACTCTCTGGCTACTTTGGCTACTCTGGCTTCCTACCAAATAAAATGGAACAGATATTTTGTCCTATAAGTAGATATGCAAAGAGGTTTAAAAAGCACAATACAAGGATTAAATAAAATTATCATAGAGATAATTCAGATATATTAACACAATTATCATATATAGAACAGTTGAAACATGAGCATAATTCAAGCAGTTTATCTGTAACTACTGCTAAATTTGCATCGAAGTACGGACCAGAACAGAAGGTGACAGACACAAGTCTGCATGAATGTGCACTACATATACCTACTATAGTGGGTACCTATAGCAGGTACCTGTATGGTGGATGAAGAAAGAAGGGTCAGAAAACAGCAGGTAAAAAAAGAGGGCGAGAATTACTCCTGCGTAAAAGCATGTCACTGTCATAGCAGAGTATCGCAACAGAGTACAAACTCAAAGCTCTACCTATGATCAAGTATAAATCTCAAATACATTTTAAGTCTCTCTAAACCCTACAGTTAGCAGGAGTTTTTTTGTTCACAAACTAGGCCGTACACCATCTTATGTCACAGCCAAAGGAAATGCAGGGTTCCCCACTGCAGCTGCCAGACTTGCCCAGACCTCGTATAATCCTGTGATAAAATCATTCTGAACACACTGCAAGTTGACCTTAGCTATTGCTATTCATCACAGCACTGCAACAGCACCTTAACCAACTATGAGAGAAAGGATTAAGTAACATTCCTGTCTCAAATAAAACCTTCTTCATTGGAAACATGTTATTCTGGCACACACAAAATAGGATCACCTATTTTCAATAACCACATGGGGTAAGCAGTCATCATTTTAAGTATCTCGAAAACCATACAGGTGCAGGAATTCTAAAGCTGTACAAATCACTTAAATTTCATAACTGAACATACAAAGTTCAAATGCAGTGTAAAGTGCATTTTTCTGTTAAACAGCAAAAGCATTTGGAAATAACACTACAAAATGCATACTGCTCTTCCCCTTCCAATAAATCATTTTTTTATTTCCAAGTGATTGTACTGAATACACTTTGTATTTCAAGAATAACTATACCTCACTGAAGATATTCAGTACTTATCTGACTTACCAGAATGATGGTGATGTTGTTCTTCTAGGAACTCCAAGTCAAGCATGAGGTCATCTTCATCCAACTCACAGGAACCCAAGTTATTCAAAACATCCTAATATAGATTAAAAAAAAAAAAAAAAGGCATTTAGACAGATGTGTTAACCAAACTGTTCTGCACAAAATCATGAGCAATCAGATCTGGGAAATACATTTAAGCAGGAACTAGAGAAAATTTTTTTACTGACACTGGACTGGTGAGAAAATGTATGAAACAACTGTCCAAGTACAATGCATAAATGCATTAGTCACCATTCTCTGGTTTTACAAGATATCAAAGATTTAATAAAAAAATAAAAAAAACACAGAAGTACAAGTAATACCATCTGTGTAACTTGATTTTTTTTTTTTGGTAGAGCTCAATGATTGCCTTGTGTATTTCAAAATTTAATCCTAACTTTTAATGAACCACAAAAATTTTATTTTTAACACAACACAGAAGCATCAGTACTACATTTTTTAATTCTAAGCTCTGCCTGCCCTTACCAATATATTCTGAAGAGAGATTTACTGTTATATTTATCCAAGGGTTAAAGGGACACATATTTAGGAATTCAGTGCAAAAGAGGCCAGGTGATCATCCCAAAGTATCAATCTGCCTGTAAGATCTCTATATAGCAATCTGCTATACCAAAAGCAGAGAAATGTAACAGTAGTATACATTAAACTTGTAAAAGCCCTTCCTGACTTCAATTACAACTGTATTTTCTGTAATTGTAATTCTTTGAAGTATTTTCTCCCCATAACTGTTATTCACGCTCACTACTTATGCTTATTCAACCCTTTTGAGTAATTATTTCTGCAAGTCTGTTTTTCACTTTCACAAACAACACAGGCAACATCAGGATGTTTTCTTGCATTCTTTCCCTGACCTACCATTATTATGAGAAAACCTCTGCTGAGACACAGAACCCACTATTAATGCTGTTATGTACAGACGTCAAGCACAGAAAGTGACAACTGTCAAGTACTGAGACCTGCACATAAGTAGTGAGTAGTATTTTGTGGAAGGAAAATATATATCACATGAACATTACAGTGACATCAAGCACACGCATCTTATTCCCACTACCTTAACTCAAAGAGCTGCTGACAAGCCTTCCTTAGAGTGACTTTTTCTTTCACTCATGCTGACAAATTGTAGACTTTCAAAATCAAATTATATATTATTACAAAAGCATAAAAATAAAACACAGAAATACATATCTCAATATGCAGGTGCATTATATCAGGTTACTGTACTTGATACTTACGTAGACACAAACTTTCCTATTCCAGATCTGTGTTAATGTTAAACAAACTCAAACTGTTTTACTAAAAACAAAATTAAAGAAAAAGAGTGTTCTGTGTTAAACTGAAGTCAGAGAACACACATTGCTCAATGTTACAGATAACCTAAAACTTAAGTAACTTTTCAATCACTGTTGGAACTTGTGAAGAAGCACTGGAGATCAAAAACCTCATTTCATGTCCTTTAGTACCTAAATATCTTTCAAAATAATAACAGCAAGACACTTCCAAGATTTGTTCTCTGTTCTTTTTCACAGATTCCAAAAGCACTGCCTGACGTGACTGAAGTATCTTCAGTCCAAGTGTTATTACCAACTATGTTTTGGAAGGAAAATCAATGATTATGGAAGGTTAAGAGCAGAAGAACATAAGGAAACAAAACAAAACAAAAGAAGACTTTGGAGATTTTTGCTCCCTTTTTAAATATAGACAGTATTATGCACTTGAGATTGATCAAAGGGTATCTCAGAGAACAGAAACATACCTTGTTTGTATATTGTTTTATTAATGTAAGAAAAGCATTTTGGTGACAAAGTCCTGAAGAATAATCTCTGAAAATTTAAAGCAACAGATAAAAAGTTTTCAAGCCAGTAGAGATAACAGGTAAAACATTTAGTATGTTTTAAGTACAAAGGTTTGTTCTTTACCTTAAAATTACCATCTGTATTACAGCTGACCAACTGAACCCACCCTGATATTAACGCTAAGCATCCTTCAATGAGCCATACCAATAGTAAGGAGTGTGATTTCATGCTAATTGAGCATCTCCTACATCCTGTGCAGTAACTTACCCATAGTGTGAAATCTTGGGTGTTTGCCTGTGAAAATGTAGTAATACACAGCCTTTGTAAAAAAAAAAAAAATAATTCTATTTTATTTGGAAAAAAAACAAACAAACAAAACACAAACAGGACTGCAGTTTTCTAAGTTTTGGTGAAACTTCACCAGATTAGATGGACAAAAAGGAAAAAGTTTATATACAAATCTCCTCTCATTATTGCCTTTCAGGAAGGTCTTCACTTCCAGTAACTTTCAGAGTGGAGGCAAACTGAGTCATCTGTCCTCTGTCCTATGAGTTTGATGTGCATCCTATTCTACACAGCAACATCTCTGCTCACCTGAGCTGAGGGCTCCCAGCTACCTTCCCAACACACTTACAAACCCCTTTCCTTTCCTTTCCTTTCCTTTCCTTTCCTTTCCTTTCCTTTCCTTTCCTTTCCTTTCCTTTCCTTTCCTTTCCTTTCCTTTCCTTTCCTTTCCTTTCCTTTCCTTTCCTTTCCTTTCCCTTTCCCTTTCCCTTTCCCTTTCCCTTTCCCTTTCCTTCAGCCTCTTTGCCTGCACCACCAACAGTAGGCAAGCTGAATTGATAAAATAAAATTCCCCCAGGTCTATTCTTGGAAGTACTTCACCAGGGAAACAGTATCTCTCTTTCCCCAAGTTCATTTGTTCTTTATAAAGGATCAATCACAGAACTGGCAACAAACAAATTAAAGCAGTTACTGTCCATCACGACAAGAATAAGGTTTGGCAGAGGATGCTGCACTACCTGTCAGGGGTGTCAGCAATGTCAGTCCAGCTGCTTTCCTGCTTTCATTGCCCACCTCTGCCAGTGAGGTCCTTCCACAGATACAACACAGAAATCAACTCATGAGTGCACAAAAAAGCACAAAAGCACACCAAAGCAGAGTGTTACTTCGGTTCCCTGGGCTATCCTAAAAGGAAAAAACAACAACAACAACAACAACAACAACAACAACAACAAAAAAAACAACAAAAAAAAACCTGTTCTAACCTTTTCTGAAAACATATAATTAGAAAATACAAGAGAAAAAGGCTCCTAGAATGACTTTCCTAATACCACAGAACAGCACAGTACTTCTGTGAGTGCACACCAACAACCTCTGCCCCTCTGCTTCCTCGCCAAGATCCATTATTCCTTTGTTGCTATGACAATTAGCAGCAACTGTAATTTCTTTGTAAGTTTAATATCTCTTGACCTTGTCCTCATTCTCCCTCACACCACTGCTGCTGCATTCCTTGAAGAATAACACAACTAATTTAAAAATAAAAGAAAATAAAAGAAAGCTCAAGCTCTAAGGAGCATTCAAAGGGAGTAGTTTCAAGGCTTTGCTACATAAAGTAAAAGAAACGAATGTTTCAATCAAGGTCCCAAGAAAACATTTGTTGTCAATTTATGGTGGCATACCTTTTATTTATTCCAGGAGGCAAACCATTTAGTTAAGGCAGAAACCACAGCAAAACCTCTTTATTGACTCTGTAATAACCCCTTTGAAGCCTTATGATGTACTTCCTACTTCTAGTGTCTGCTTGACTTCTACCACTGATTTGTCTTTATAATGGAACCAAAGTTAACATGATGGTGGTTTTTTTCCTTCCAGTTGATCATAGCTTGTGAGAACATGTGAATACACTCAGTCCATCATTTGCCCACGTCTCTCAGTTTTTCCTGGTCAAGACAGGCCGCAGCCCAAGTTTACCTACAACTATTTCTACCTTTGACTTGTTGAACTACCAGCATTATTTAAAGAATTTTCCATTTGAACAATTGTTCAACACTGATATTTTAAACATTACTAATTCAAAATAAAAAGCACTAATTTGTACAATGTTCCAGGCTGCTTTTAGTAACTGATAATGGCTGCAGCAGAAAATTGAAAGACTTTAGTAACTTTTCAGTAATAATTTTCGTATTTAAAATTCTTTCATCAACAAAGAGAAGTATAAATTGCTATTTTTCATCCAACCACCACATATCCTAATCAAAAGTCCATTGAACTCAATGGTACTCAATTTAGACATAACTAGGCCTAAACTTTCGTAACAAATATGACCCAAGAAACATTTTATTATTGAAAAATATGCAGTGATTTGAACAGATACAGTTCAGAAATAGATGAAACATGAGAGGGGTAGAGTTGCATTAGACATATACTTCCTCCCAGCCAGACAGTGTGTATCTGGATAGTAAGTTTACTCAGGTTTGCTTAAGGGGGATCTTCCTACCTTAGCTCCCTCCCTATCTCCATCTTTATCTCTTCCCAGCTTCCCTTCCTATAATCACTCAAAGGAAATCTAATGAATAATACATGAACACATGAAGTCCTTTTCCAGAATACTCAAGTATTTCATTATTTTTAGACCTGTTCCAGCTCAAGAGTCAACATCACTTAATGTAAGTTTGAAAGTTGGAATAAATAAAAACAGCTTTAGTAGTAAAAACACATAAAATGCCCCAACATAATAGGTCTTAAATCTACTATTAGGCTTAAACAAAAAGCACATAACATTTCTTTATGAAGTCCCTTTACTATGTGGGGTTTTAATTATTATTACAAATAACCAACCCACACACATAAATACCTAGTGAAATTACTGCTTATGGAGTTGGAGTACACACCTCTAAATATTGGCTAGCCTGATATCCAAAAATTACAATAAAATATACATATGAATATATAAATACACTAAAGCATATTATTTTGTTAAGCAATGCAATTCAGTTCCAAAATGGACTTAGCAAACTCGTATCAATTGCAGAATACATATAAACAAAGCAAGGTAAATCCATGCAGAATATTGAATATTTGCAACTCATGAATAATTGGGTTTAGGTGACAAATCTGCACACTTGAAACAGCCAGAAATCAATGGCACAACTCAAAAGATTCATTTTTTGATGTTTTCACACATTTTTATTCCTGGCTTCCTGTTCTCATACCATTGAAATAATAAAGTAACAGCAAA